AAGTTCGCTCCTCGGAGACGGTAGTTCTACCATAACGCTCAGCTTGGAAAATCTGAAGTCTCTGATCGCGGCGGCAGCAAGGGGGTCGTCATCCCCGGGGAAAGCAGGGGACGTAACCACTAAAAGAAAAACGGCGGACGACGAGGAGGCCAGACGGCAGGCCGATGAGTGCGAGGATGTCCCTCCGGAGGATGATGAAGGGATGACAGGAACGCCGTTCATAGAAAGGCTGCAGCATGGCGAGTTACCCGCAACTTTCAAGCATGTCACATACGAATATACCGGGACCACGGACCCCTGGGAACACCTATCAAGATTCATTACCTCGGCCTCCCTCCATCGACTGACTGACGGCGTAAAATGCCGGGTATTCGCAACCACGTTGGCGGGTCCAGCTCAGAGGTGGTTCAGCCAGCTCCCGCGCTGCTCTGTACACAGTTTCGCGCAATTCAGTGAAGTATTCCTAAACCACTTCGCCAGCTCGAAAAAGCAAAAAAGAAGCACCCTCACCTTATTCGCAGTACGACAGAAGGAGAACGAACCCCTAAGGAGCTACGTACAAAGGTTCAACTCGGCGACTTTGGAAGTCCCTGCTACCAGCGCGGAAGTACTCATCAACGCGTTTAGTTCAAATTAAAACTGAGATTTGAATGTAGACAAAAGTCTTTAAAGTCAATTGAGTTTAGTTCAATATATTTCCCATATGAGGGGGCTATTGCATATTTCCCCTATTTCCAAAATACTATTAATGAAAAAAAAAAAAAATAGTCAAGGGTTTTGTCCGGGAATATTAGAATAGTATTGTAGGTAACCAAAATTAGATAATATGGGAATACTTTGTTTGGTACATAAAGTACACAGAGGCATGCAACATGATTCAGACCCCTACCAATGAAAGCCGATTTCAAAACATACATGAATTAAACACTACTACTACTACCACCGATTATTTATACATATATATATAATATATATATAAACTTTGTTAAATAAAATAATAATAATTAAGTGGATAATATTAAATTATTTAAATATATGGAGCAGCTTTAAACAAACGTCTGTAAAAAAATGTGATTGCAATAGCAGGGAGTCTAATACAAATTAAGCTGACTCTATACAAGTATAGGCTCTTCGACTTTTGCTGCTGCTGCTGCTTCTTCTGCGGATTGTGTTGCAATATATATTGGACTTAATGCAAACTTTTATTTTATTTATTTAATTAATTTATTTATTATTTGTTTTTATTTAAAAAAATTCTGGCCTACATGTAACGCTTGGTGGAAAAGAATCCAAAACCCTCTCTCTCTCTCTCCCTAAAACAAACTCTCTTAAAAGAACACTACATGGTCTTGTTCCTTTCACCAATCAGGTCTCGGGATTTCAGCTCACCTCTCTCTCTATAGAGAGAGAGGAGAGAGAGAAGAAAGAGAGAGATAGAGAGAGAGAGAGAGAGAGAGAGAGTCTAACACGTAGTGCTCTGTGGTTCTGTTGTAGTTTAACAGTGGGACAGGTTCTCTACTCCCATAGAATATTTACAAAATATATTCAATGTGACATTAGAATTAGACAACTATAATTTTTTACATTTTCTTTATAAGTGAGTTAAAATGTAATACACAATTAATTTGAAAACAAGGAGTTAGCCAAAAAAAAAAAAAAAAAGAATAGCTTGCAAGTGTACATAGAATGATGAAAATTAATGAGGAGTTAACACAAAATAAGATTTGACAATTTCATTAGTTGCGTGAACTTTCTCTATTCCATAATAAATCTTTTTTTTTTCTTTTTTGTTATATATAATCTGACACTTTAGATTTCTAGTAATGCGTTAAATGCATTTTTCCATATTTCAACCAGCTTATTAATTCAACTCTAAGTATTAACTTTCTCTTATTATATCATTAACTGGTGACGGTTATTTTTGTCTTTTTAATATATTTTTTCTAAAACCAAGACACATATTCAAATTGGCATTCTTGATACTTCTGCAAAGCTGAAAAAACGAGAGTTAATTGAGAACGGATGGAGTATATGTTTGTTTCGCCACAAAAGTTGTGCATGAAAGAGCAACTTTCCCTTACATTTCAGCCAATTAAATAGGGTTTTAATTTGGATGTTAGTGATATAAACTAATAATCGTGTCATATAAATCTAAGAAAATCTTAGTATTTTTATTCATCTAATAATATAAATTAAATAAGTTCTCTCTCTTCAAAATTAGAAGAATATGTTTATGGTTAAAGTTCTAGTTTTCTACTTTTCTTGTCCCATCACGAGTTGTCAAAACTAAATAATTAAGATATTGGAAGTATTCATATTTATTCTTCCAAAATCCTTATGAATTAGTAATTTAATAAATTGATTATTATATATTCTTGATATATCATAATTCATAGGTACAAACCAAAAATATTTGCAATTTTTTTAATTTAAAAACAAAACAGCCAATGGGTTGGAAGATCCATACCACCTAAAATAAGACAGCAAAAAATAAATATCCATCTCTCATTTTTCAAAAAAAAAAAAAACAATTTGAGAAGATTTTGACTATTTTTTTAATATTTAAGCTAATGCTCATGGTTTATTTATTTATTATATATACTAGCATTTTCCCCCGTGCGATGCACGGTATAGCCTATAATAACAATTATAAGAAAATTTAATAGTGATATTGATAACAATATCAACATTTATACAAATGTAATAATACAAACTCATTCAAAAATCAAACAATAAAAACTTAAGTATCATAATATGAAATTGATCATTAAATAAATGAAGCAAAACTTTTTTTAGAAAAAAATAGGAGATAAAATAATAATAATAAAAAAAAATGTAAAAATCATATCATAATTTCTAGGACCTCAAGTGCTATCGGTTGTCTTACAATCGATTAACATTGGAAAAGATGCAAACCCTAGTTTAATAATACATTCAATCATAACACACAAGCATTCACGACATTCGTTTGTGGGCCGCGGTCCGCCAATGCCGAGACCTCCGTCCCCACATGAATAATTACTCTCAAACTCAGACTAGCATAACTAATATAATTAGCATATATACACTAATTAATTACTTGAGGATTTCTCATATCAATTAGAATATATTTTGCAAATTTTTTGTAGGGCTGAATTGTTATGATTACGGCACTGAAATATGGACAAAAAACAAGATATTGGATAAGGCACATTTACACATATATACATACATACATAAAACATACACATAAAAACTTTATCCCAGCCTGACCGAGAGAATTGTATATGGTCAGACATGCTCAGTGTGTGTGTGTGTGTGTGTGTGTATATATATATATATATATATATATATATATATATATATATATATATATATATATATATATATATATATATATATATATATATATATAAATGTTGATTCTTGACATCCTATATTTGCACTCCTAGGCGCACCTCTAATTTCATAAGCAGCTTTTGGCCGAAATCTCTTTAATCTGAAAATATTCCTCAGTCTTTGTTTTGTTGTCTCTTCAATTTAAACCTCTCTTTTTTGTATTATTTATCCATAAATATTCCCAATTACAGCTTTCCAGTAATTTAATTATATTCAGGTACATTTATGGAAATTCCTATATTTTTATCTAGATTTTTTTATATTATTTTTACTTATTTAATTATTTATCACTAAGGGAATATCAATCTTTTTTTAAAAAAATTATGATTAAATATCTAAATCTAATTAGGAGACAATTCTTTTTTCTTTTCTTTTTTCTTTTTTTTTCTAAAGCTAATTATGACTAATTACGAATATCGGAGAGCCCTTTGAATTCCATATTCGAAGTTGCGATCGGATAGTTATCGACACACGTTAGTTTTTTTGCAATTCGACTTTGTTTAGGCTTCACAAAACGAGTTTTTATTTCTAGTAATTTTCGATTATCATAATATAGCGTATCTACAACTCTAGGGTTTCGTATATGTTTTTCTTCTCTTTACAAAGGAAAACAAGAGTTAAGTGATGCGTTACTGG